GCAACTTGGTTAGAGAATGCCATTGACTAAAATCAGGGTTTATGAGAATACATTCTTGAGAAAATGATAAACTCCACATACAACTGATCAATCTATACGGTTCACATTACACACAGTATGAAACACTGTTAGCCTAGCAAAGCCTTATTAGATCATATTAATAGAAAGCAAAACAGAAAGCAACACTTTACAGTGATTAACTTAACAATAAAGTCCCTTAAGTGCAAGCAACAGTGACTTCAAATGTATTAATGAGCAGCTGTGTTTTTTTTGGCACAATTGGGAAATATCGAAGACCGTATGCACGTAAAAAGCCTTGTTGTTTATTGTTTTACCCACATTTCTAAGTGCAGTAAGACAAAGTAAGACAGTGCCAATTCTGCAAGAAGCACAAAGGAAACAAAACCAATTAGTCCACAAAGCCAGTGTCTTAAAGACCTTGAGTCATAAGTAAGAGTCTTAACAAAAGTCGAATGGGACGAGAATTTAGGTGGAAATAAATAATAGACCTGTATAATCAAATAATGCACATTTTGTTAAAAATAAATCATACACATTTAAACATATCCATTGGAATGGCTAAGTGTTGCACAATATGAAAAAGTAATGCACTTACTTTAGTGCAAAAATGTATTAAGCAAGATTATGTGTTAAGAAGGGGATAACATAAATTCCTGAATATGTGCTGCGTTGGAATACTTAAGTTTTGCTACAAATATTATGATTGACCGCTTTAAGTAGGGCACACGTAACATATACACTATGTATACACAATATTATTTAGATGTGTGAAGCTCTAGAGTGCAAAAAAAAAACATGGTGGAAACTGGAGGTAGAAGAAACATTAAAGTAGCAGGAGGAGTCAAATAGGGAAAGCCCATCTGGTTGTTGTTACAGTAAGTTAATTATCCACACACCTATAATTAACAACAATTAACATGACAATAAACATAGACAAACATTACTTTAAAGTTTAGACCAAAACACAACATTTTAATTAAATATCACTGTCAACTGTTTTTCATCACACCACGTTGACATCATTAGGTGTTAACACAGAGCACATACAGCTGGGCTAAGTTGTTTTGGCAATGACATCAATATTTTCAGAAATGAGACAACAATCAGTTTGATTTACTGGCAGAATAAGGCATAGGTTAATAATGCAAGGCCAACATTAAAATGTAAGATGGATAAATTAAGAGCACATCCGGTTAATTATATATATATATATATATTTCTTTTTTATCTTAACCAGCCCCAGGTCAATCCATGCAGACATTTGACCTCAATAAAGGCAAAAAATAAGACAAAGGTTACATGGTAACAGCAAGGCATATATCAGCAGATGAAGTGCTTACTAGAAGAATCTCTCAACATTCGATTTGAGACTGCAGCTGTCTGCGCAGAGTGAGGGTGCGTCGGTGGAGCTGCTGCATCTGCTGCATGCGGTCCCGCTGGCGAGCCAGGTTCTGGGGCATGGGGTAGTGCTGGCAGCCGTGGAGATAATGGTACGGGATGCGGACGTGGCAGGCTGCGGCTCTGCAGCGGGGCTGGGGTAAGGGCGGCAGCAGCATCCAGCGCTTCCTCTCAGCACAGTAACGGTACGCCTCCTTGCGGTACTGCTTGTCCATGTTGTTGCAGTTCCTCCAGCCGCCAATGATGAAAACGTCTTCACCCAGGTAGCAAACAGCAGCACCCTCCATGCTGAGGACCTCTGGAGGGAGGCTGTCCAGGATTTCCTCAGAGATGTCTCTGCTTATTGTCTGCTGAGCATCCTGAAGTGTTACCTTGTAGCTCTTTGAGCAACAAGAAGCTGTGTGGTAGAAGTTGGTGGATGCGACAGCCATTTGAAAACTACAGTAATTATCAACAAGCGGCAAGGAGTCCACTTCCTGCCACTTGTGACTCTCTGTATCGTAGCAGGTGGTCACAGTGCTCAGTCCGTCCTCATTGTCCATGTCTACAGGAGTCCTTGCCATCACATAGATGTAGCGGTCCTCTATGCTCACTGTTTTTACATCTCTTAGTATCTTCGGTGCTGGCTCCAGATTGTGCCACTCGTCCTGCTCCGGCTCGTAGACAGTAACGTCCTTAAAGCCTGGACTGAAGTTGCCATGGCCACCGATGCTGTAGAGTAAGTCTTTGACACCTGTGAGGCCAAAGGAGTGCTTGCGGGTTGTCAGGCTGCTGACCTGCTCCCAGGAGTTGAGGTTGGGGTTGAAGCGCTCCACCGTCTTGGCGAAACCTGGTTCCATGGAGCCTGCCACATAAACATGGTGGTCATTGACTGCGATAGCGTGTCCGTCGAGATGGTTGTGAATGTGGGGCAGGTTTACCCAACGGTCTTCAGCAACAAAGTAGCCCACACACTCACTCAAATAGTCCCCGCCTTCTGAAACACCACCGACTACCATGATTACATCCATGTTCTGGCCGAGTCGTGGCTGGATTGCTGCCGTATAGGAGGCACAGAGCTCAAAATCAGCTGACTTGAGGTTCTCAAAGTGAACAGCGTGGACCTCGAGGGCCTCCATCACCAGCTGCTGACAGGCCGCATTGTTTTCCACTAAGGGCTCCTTCCTCACCACCCTGCTCAGGTAAGTAGGAGAAATCTGAGGCAGCCGTAAAAGTTTGAACAGCTCCTCAAATTGCTTCCCTCTCTCCTCTGTGTTTTGGTGCACCCATTTTACTATAGCCTCAAACAACTCCTGTTCAGAGTCCACAGTGATCCCTGAGTCTGACAGCCAGTCCCGGACCAGGTGAAATGGCAGCGTGAAGAATTCCTCGTTGCTGATTATTTTGTGAAAGTGTCTTCTAATCGTCTTGGCTGCTCCCAAGGCCAGCGTGTCCAAGGTGTACATGTGGGCGAGGCTGTGCACTGCTACACAGTTGGATAAATTCAACTTCTTCATCAGAAACTCTCCGCAGAAGTTCTTCAGCTGGGCCAACAGGAACCTGTAGGAGCAGTAATGTATGCAAATTAGTTTGGAGTCGAGATTAATTAATCAGTAAAAGCAGATGGAACTAAACCCTGCAAACAGTAAGATAAACAAAAGATTTAGGTAAAAAAAACATTAGATATCGAGTTAAAACTCATGTTCGGAAATACACCCTGTAGAAACGTTAAGCAAAATAAACCAAGGCACTGTCAGCCAGAAAACATGTTATGTATTGTAGTGGTTTACTATTTTTAGTTGTTTAGTTTCTTGCAGTACAATGCTTAAATAAGCCAAATTGTAGGTCTCCAAGTGATTTTACCCTGGGATGTATCTTGTTGTTAAACTTACCTACCAACAGCATACTTTTTGGGGCCCATGTGGCAGCTATCATTTTTCTTAACATAAACACTTCAACCTACTGCTTATGATACAATACATAGAAAAGTCAGAAATGTTGACATGTCACAGTAGGAAAAACACAGGTGTTACATTAGTAAGCCAGAACGCTGAGGCAGGTATGGCATTAAAATGTAATGTTTTTCAAAAGTCCTTGTTTGATTTCCCAAACAACTTACACCACCATTTAGGCCCATATACCTGCCAAATGCACTTGGTAAACAGTGGATTGCCAAGTGGCACAGGTGTGTAAACTCAAAACTAGCCACACTTGCTGATGTGACGGGGACACAGACAGGTGTGTCTCATGTATCAATAGAGGCTAAAACCTGTAGGACAAATGCCCACACTTCCGTGTAAGAGGAAGTATATTAATATTTTTGAAACATGGTTTGAAATGTTTTACCTGTCAGCCACTTCCAACACTTCATGCACATTGGCAGTGGTCACCCTGATCTGTCCAGTGTACATAAACTGTATAACACTCTCCACAGTGTCTGGGTCTGGTCCCGTTGGTGAGCTCCATTCTTTGAGCTCCACTCGCCCCGACCGAGACTCCGAGAAGTCACCGCCCAGCAGCAGCGTGAAGTACTGCGACGCTGCGGATAACACCGAGCGGTGGGCGGCTAAGGTTTGGACCCTTTCCTCCTCAGACACCCCTCCGGAGCTAAAAACCAGGCTCACGTCGCAGAAAAGCTCCGACTTCCTCTGCTCGTTCTGCCGCCGAGAGAGCTCGGAGCAGTAGGCCGAGCAGGTGAAGTCCTCGGCCTCCTCAGGTTCCCCGTCACCTGTTAGCGCTCCGCCGCTGCGGTCCTCCGTCGCTTCTGCTGCCGCTGCCATTCCGCAGCGGGATAGACTAAGAAGCAGATTAAAGCTCTGTATCTTCGGGAAGAACTCATAGGCATGTATAACACAAGTAAATAAACATTCAAAAACTGACATGCATGCGCAGCGCTCAGTCTTGGTCGAAAAACAGGAGTGCTCACTTCCGTCTTTAAGAATTTTCCAAATGTACTCGATTTTGGCTGTAGAGTCAGAGAGGCTCTACGATTTAAGATAATAACTAAGTCCACACAATATACCGATATCCTGGACGCATACAGTCAAGTCCCGCATGATCAATTTTTTTTTTGATGTTATGACGCATTAACACGTCTTTATTTGAGTGAAATTTAACTTTGTTTAAAGGGTGCATCGTATTCGCGCATGCGTGTTGCGACGCATCTAACTTCTGGTGCTGCTTGTAATTTCAGCTTTCTTGAGTAACATTTTCTCCAGCAATTATCACTTTGGGCTGCATCTTGCATGAACGGTGCTATATAAATAAAGATTATTATATATAATATATCTCAAAACACTCACATGTAAATATCCTTTAATCAAAAATTACCTTCAGATCTTCAAACTAACTTAATATCTACCATTTTCTTTCAATATTAACCTCAACAGCTTTACTTTTGAATTAAAATGTTCCCTATGTTTGTCTTTGGAGATGACTCATAAATCAATTGTTTCATTAGCAATTACATTCCCACTGAAAATAACCTCTTAACTTGACAAAAGAGCAAATCTTCATATACTTTGATGGAGAGGAGTGTTTCAGAGGATTTGCTCATCTTTACTGGACCTACAAAAGATTTAGACATACACATCAGCCAAAAATGAAAAGTAAAACAATAAGTTCTTTATTATTATTATACTATACGACAGCGTATTACAAAAAAACAAAGCATTTTTTTCACAGTTAAATAGAAACAGCAAAACAAAGATCGAACACAGCAGGCCGTACAGTGGGTGGTAACAAAGCGTTTTGAGTCTGTGTCAAGCCAGAACTGTATTATTATTTGTATTATGTGCAATAACTATTCCAAGTAAAGCAAACCGCTTTCATGGTCCCTCACAGAAATGTGCTTTCAAAGACTCGAAGGGCTCATTCATGAAGCATTTTGTCACTCCCCTTCTGATGCTTCTACATTTTCCTGTTTTCTGACAGTTATTCAGAACACAAAAAGTTCAATTTATACTTGGTGTGAAAGACTTCCCTAAAACCGCATCTAATTGACAGTAACCGATGAATTTCAACCACTGGTTTACATCCAGGGTTGTTCTTGTAAAGGCAATAGTGTAGTACCACTTAAATCATCATTTGATTGTTTGTTTAGTTCCTTTATCTCAGTAGAATACCTCCTTTCCAAAACATGAGATCTTGATTAGCTCTGGAATATCCACCAATGGACCCGTAACAACATTTCATTTTTAACAAAGATGACAAATTCCCTAATAATGACTTTGGTTTAAAAAAGGACCTTTCCTAATGGGGTGAATACAGAAGGAGGAGTTTTAATCTGACATTATTTGCTAACGTGTTTTAACTAAGGTGCAATACTTAGAAAGCATAATCAAGCTCACTTTCTTGTGAACTAAATCAAATAAATTGTTATAAACTATTTTGAGTAGTTTAAAAAAAAAGACATGGTATTGTAGAGCTTGAAAAATGCCACATCAGTAGCCTTTACTGAATATTAACAGAACAGCCAGCGTAATGCAGGAGTCAGGTTTGAAATGTGGTTTGAAATGTGCTTTGAATCCCGCAGTTTTTGCCTTTAATGAAAGTTCCAATTGATTTGGTGCTTCTGCAACAGCTGTGGTTTGGGTTTGTGGTCAAAATTGAATAAGTTACATCGCATACTTTAAATAATTTGTCAAAAACTAAATCTAAAAATATAATTCCCCTTTTTTCCGTAAAAACTAGATTGAAAACCTTTTCCCATATCCCTCAGCCAGACAGTACTTTTTTTCTAGAATGACTCTGCCCAGTTTCCCCAAGGCTTCAGTTTATCACAACCGGAGAGAGTACATAAACCTTAAGTGTGATGTGAAATGCTGCCTGACCCATTTGGGCAGTCCCAACTGGAAGCGCGTCCTCTTCTGGGATGCAGAGATTACATGGACATATGTTCAGGAAGCACATATGAGATGTCATCCCACGGGTGGCGGTACAAACCCTGTTTCAGCCTCTTCTGGTCCAGGTAATGCCCTAATGCAAGAAAAAGACCAGTTAGATGTTTTGTTTTTACAATTTACATTACAAATGATCATGGCTCTATTGGAATGGAACTCACCAATAAATCCCATACTACGGCCAAGGACAAAGATCCCATTTAGTGCACCGATCTCCACAAACTCGTCAGCCTCGTCTCTGGAACCGGTTCAACATTCATGTGAGAAACAATACTCGACTGTGTGCTTACTATTGCAGAGAAAAGACAATGTACTTTTGGCTTCTGAAGTTTCAGTTTAATAAAAGGGATTTTTAAATAGTTTAATAGAGTCATAAGAAGATGAGGTTCCTCATGTGAAAGCTGGTGTATTCAGAGATAATGAATGACTATATTGAACAATTCTATTGTAGAATTATAAAATATGTCTTGCAGTTTTAGTCTTACCGTGTGAAGCCACCACATGTCCTGAGCAGGTCCACAAAGGCGACACCAATAAAACCGTCTACGTTGAGTATCAGGTTGGGTTTCTGAAAAATGTCACAGGAATAACGGTAAATTGCACAATATAATGTCAAATGAAAAAAGGAGAAAAAGTTGAAATAGTCTCATTGAAAACATTGTGCGTTTCAAATGTTGTTCACTTTTGATAATAAAGTGGACAAGTACCTTAGAGGTGGTGATCTTCTCTACGTCTAGGGCGTAGTCAAGCATTACGGTGGAGGGGAAATTCTGTTTGACATAGTCCTTCAGAATCTGCACACGCATGTCTGGGTTGTTGATCTGAAAACAGACAAAATGTTTTTATTTCTAATGAAAGCTCTTAACTGTTCTGATAACTAATATTCATTTAGTTTGATTTTAACTATAACAATAATTATGCTTAGGCATAATCTTAACAACTGTGTTCATTAATCAGTGCCATTGTTTTATATAGCTTGATGAGGTAACGAGAGAGTATGAGAAACTGAGCGCCGCTTACCGATTTGACTCTGTGGCCGATGCCCATGATCAGCTTGCCGTCCTTCTTCATCTTGTTGACAAACTCCATCGGCACCATGCCGCTGTCGAATGCCTTGCTGAACTGCTTTGCAGCTGCATCCAGAGCGCCTCCGAAACGGTCCCCCTGGAATTCATGAATGAACAATGCTTCAGTACAGAAGAGATAGGTGATGACAGGTGAGCATTTTCATAATTTCTGTCATTGTTTTCTGGTTAAAGTCACAATTTCTTAGATCTATGTTGTGTTTTCTTTGGTGGAACCTATAGAAATAAGCGGTAACGGCATGTGTCTTTAGATCCAACTTTCACTTGTTTCAATACAAATGTTTTATATTAAGGGCTTTCATCACAGGGACACAGGCTCAAACATCATTGCAACTTTACAGCTATTAAAGAAAATCAACATTACTACTTGTATTGATGGTGCATGTGCACAAGTGTCTAAGCAGTACTTACAATGGTGAGCAGGCCGGAGGTGAGGCTTGAGATAAGGTCCTTGCCAGCACGAGCACAGACAATGGTGTTGTGTGCTCCAGAGACAGCAGGTCCGTGATCAGCTGTCACCATCAGGCACATCTCAATGAACTTGCAGGCATAGCGCGGCAACCTAGACACAAACACAGCACAGCTTATTCCTCTACAGATCTATGTGTAGGAAATGAAGCCAGTCAACACTTCTTCTCTCGGTAACATATCACCAGTTGTAGTCTAGGCGTCATTCTGACCTTCGTTGAAACCAAAGCAAGCCCAGCACTCCTCCTAGACCCATCTCCTCTTTAAAGACCTCTGTGATGGGCATGCCGGCGTAGATGAGCTCCTGGCCTCGCTCGTCACAGATGCTGGTCATGAAGGAGGCTGGTTTGCGAATCAGACCCAATTCCTGCAGGAGAACCAGAGGAGGGTTGAATCAATAATAACTGGGTATCAACACATAGGCAAGGCAAGGCACGTTTATTCATATAGCACCTTTTAAAAGCAAGGAAATTCAAAGTGCTTTAAAGAAAATGAAAAACATTAAGTGCATTAAGATAGATGAAAATAACAGTGTGAAAATGTCATTACAGCTTATAGCAGAGATCAGTATTGGCTTATAATGTATGCGGAGGGAATGGAAACAGTGGCGCCATTACATATTTTGTCCACCAGAGGAAACTGACAAGTCTAATATTTCGACTTTTAGGCACCACGTTCAAAGGTCAAAATGTGTTAATAGTTTATACATAAATTCTCCTTATACATTCACCTTATCCTATCAAATGTATTGTAAATTGTAATTATACCAGATTCAACATATTCTTTAGTGGCCAACAGAGATGCATTTGAAAGAAAAGCGGGAAAAATAAGCCACATTTCAGCTTTTCTAAGAAGTAATAATAAAGTTGCTTACCCTGGCCCAAGAGTAATCCATAGGCACTGTAGGGGGGGGAACCTCCTGAGCAGGAATGATGGTACCATTGGCCACCAGTTCGTCATAAACAGTCCTGTTTAACAATATATTCACAAAATCAGCTCAAACCCCCGAACTATTCAATGACATCCTGTGGTGTGACTGTGTGATGAATTTCTCACTTGACGACATCGCCCAGCTCATCAAAGCTCTTTGGTACATAAGCGCCGGCGTCCCTCAGGGCCTGGTTCTTGGCTACTGCTGTCTCTGAAGCCTGGTTGGCGCAGGCTCCTGCATGGCCAAACTGAACCTGAAGATGGCAGTGAGACAGGTTGAGCTCAAAAACTCAACAACACAATTCAAGCATGTTTTGAATCATTGTGGCCACCGAACCTCTGAAGTGAACATGGTGGCGCAGGTTCCAATACACCAGCACACCACAGGCTTGGTTATCCTCCCTTCTCTGATGCCTTGGCAGATCTTGTACTCTTCTGAGCCTCCAATCTGGGTTATAATAGTGAAAGAGATTTAAAAAATGCAAAATGACAGAAAAACAACAACATTGTGTTGAGGTTAATCTGAAAATATAAACATTAGTGGAACAACTCTCACCTCTCCCAGCATAATTATCATCTTAACCCCTGGAGTGTCCTGGTAACGAAGGACGTGGTCCATGAAGGTGGAGCCTGGATATCTGGAAAACATTTTTTTTTAAAAGACAACAGTTTTACAACAGGTTTTTAACTGGACATACATCACTCCTCAGCTAATAAGTTATTTACCTGTCCCCCCCGATGGCGACACCTTCATAGACGCCGTCTGTGGTGCGGGAGACTATGTTATTCAGCTCGTTGGACATGCCCCCGGAGCGCGACACATAAGCAACGCTGCCAGGTCGATACAGTTTGGAAGCCAGGATGTTGTCCAGCATGCCACCTGTGTTGCCGATCTTAAAACAACCCGGCTTGATGCCACCAACCTAGGACACAAAAAATAATGGGTATCATATGTGTGCCAGTTGAAATGTGATCGTTTTCCGCTTACCAACTGATGATTGAAAGCGTTTATACACTCTCAGACAAAAACAATGACACCTGCATTGACAGTCTACAGCAGTACTTGAAAAGAGATCCTTTTTTTTGTATCTCTTGGTGAGATATGAATCATACCGTAGCAGGGCCGATGATAGTGACACCTTTCTCGTCTGCCATCTTGATTATCTTCCTTGTCTGAGCTTCAGGAATGCCCTCAGCGATGATGGCGATTGTGTGAATCTGAAAACACAATCAGATGAGAGAGATGACTTTCATGTCGAACTGCATCCTTAACCTTTATGCAGTGATGTATGGGCATATATTTCAACATATTTTACAGTAAGTCTTTGTACCTGTGGGTGCTGCATGGCCTCCATTGTGCTGTCGAATGCTGAGCGCAGTGAAGCGAAGCTGATCAGGACGTCCACCTCGGGGTGCTTCTTCATGGCGTCGTCCATGCTCTTATAGACGGGGGTCAGGATCTCCTTGTGACCCCAGTAAAACTTCTGCTTGTGATCCCCACTACGTAACACAAGGCAGAAGACTATAAATAAAAGATTTGGTCTATAGTCGAGTACAGGTTTCCAAGTTTGTTATTTGTCAGAACATGTTGACTAAAAAGACAGATCAATTTAACCAAGATAAAATATGACTTGAGAAAAGACATGCATATCTGACAAGTTAAAGCAGGATATTTGGATAAAGAACTAATGTATGGGTGGAAGAAATGTCTCCTTAGTTCTTTACACAATGTGACAAAGTGATCTGTGTAGTTTTTCTTTTAACATTTGGATCTGGTAGCAACAACACACACATTATAAGACAACGCCACATGATGTCTGCACTGAAACTGAAATAAGGAGGATACTTTTGCAACACTGTGGAGATTGTCATAATCAGTGGAATACAAAGTCCTGTAATTCAACTGATTTTAAACAAACTTAAGATCTTGGGGAACCTACGTGAAGGGGTACACCATGGCTGCCACAGAGGGTTCGTCCCGGGAGCACACGTAGTCAAAGTCCAGCATGCCTTGCACTGCACGCGTCTGCATACCCCACACTATGGCCTTGGTTTGTTTTCTGAAGAGCGTGGTGGCTCTAGCTGAAAGAAAGAGAAGTCAGACAGAGAGAAAATGAATTTGGCGATTTAAGCAGAAACAAAAATCACAACTGGCAAGAGGGGGAGGAGTCAGGCTCAGGAAAACAGCAGGAATGGTAACAACAGAGACACAGGACAGGAGGTAGAGAAAACAAGTCGTCACCATAACAAACATCGCTCCAGAAGGAAGGCCATGTTTCTCTGATGCCGTTTGCCGGCCATATTGACATGGCGGATCTTTATACGTGCATTGTAATATAAACCCCACACATTTGTAACCACCTAAATGTCTATGCAGTATGTATATATATATATATATATCTCCTACAATATATTCACATTTTTTACTCTGAGTTTGTAAAGATTAGTACTGTAAAAATCACCCTACAAGCTGTAAGCCTCAATTGTGATGATAAAGTTGTCATCTTGTTATTCAATTAACATATTTCAAAGCAAGGTCCAGATAAAGCAACCCCCAGAGTAGTGCATTAGGTTCAAAATGCAGAATTTCCTGTTAGGGTACAATGTGGTTTGGAATTTGTTTTCAGTTAGTCACCATCATGCCATTAGTTTAAGGCCTCGCAAGTCTCTCCTCTCTGTCCAGACTCACTGCCTTTGTAAAAAACATAACTGGGAATAGTTTGACTGATATTGCAATTGCATTATAAGAGTAAATTATCCTTTTTCAAAAGATATATTAAAATGATTATGGTGAGATTTTTGCAGGGGATTTATGACACATTTCCCCCCCACAATAAGCCACATTGTCATTTTGATAAAATGATTTGAATAAGGATGTACTGGCCTTAAAAGGGTAAGGCAAATGTTAAAATGATTGACTCGTTTAGGCTGTCTACCTCATAGTTTTGTATATTCTTATATTATATAAGAATTATTCACCAATGTCACTGTATGCTTCCTTGACAAATGTATGTTCAGAAAAAACAGCCACCCTTAAAAAGGCGAGTAAGCCACCCTAACAACACCTAAACAGAACAGATTGCAGGGAAACATCAGCAAAAAGAGTGTGCAAGTAGATTTTGACAAGAAAGCAACTGGAGACTTCTAGAATTGTGTGAGTAACATTGTGTTTTTAGACTTCTCTCTTTCAGTGTGTGTACTCTGTATCAATGCTCTGTAGTTGATCTGACTGGAATTGTGTTTTTAAAACTCAAAACCGCTACAGTATCGGTCAGACAGAAACTTGGGAAAAGTCATTTGACTGAAACCTTAAAAGTGAACTAACTGACTGCTAGGGTTAACTTTGATTTAAACATTTGTAGAATACTAAGAGCTTTATTGAGTAGGTGTAACTGTATTAAGGGTTAAACTCATAACTTTATAACTTAGGGTTTAATGTAATTGACTTAAAAGACAATAACATATCAGGAGGAAGCCAGTCTAGATTTCCTTTTGAGGGCCACCAGCTGCAGAGAGTTAACTAATTAAAAGGACGTTGCCCCACAGCTGTGAGAACTCAGCAATCAGGTGTCCATTTTAGGTAGCACTTTCCTGGAGCGTCAGCTTCAGCGTCAGACGGGCGAAGACTGGCAAAGACATTAGAGTCCTACAGGAGTAAGACTGGCAAAGACATTAGAGCCCTACAGGAGTAAGACTGGCAAAGACATTAGAGTCCTACAGGAGTCACGAGGGAGGCAAAGAGGAGGCAAATCCTACTCTGATTGAGCTAAGTATCGCAGCTGTTTTTATTTTGTTTTATTTGGTTGTTTAGCCCCTCATGCTATAATCATGTGTATTTTCTCCATTCCTGTTCATGTGTCTTCTCGCAATTATCACTGGCCCCGTGTATCTCGTAATCGATATAACCGGCCTGCTCTCGTCTATCCCACATGCTCCACTGAGATCCAACATCTAGTTTCAGGTGGCCTGTGGAATTGCCAGTCAGCTGTTCCTAAGGCTGACTTCATCTCTGGTTACGCCTCCCTGCAGTCCCTGGATTTTCTTGCTCTCACTGAGACCTGGATTACACCATCCAACACATCTACCCCAGCAGCTCTCTCCACAGCATATTCCTTCTCCCATACACCCAGACCCACTGGCAGAGGAGGTGGCACTGGTCTCCTGCTCTCTCCCAAATGGAGCTTTTCACTCTTCGAGCTACCTAACTTCACTCCTTCCACCTTTGAATTCCATGCCGTCACAGTAACCCATCTCTCACAGCTCTCCTCTCCTCTTTCTCTGCTTCGATCTCTCAGGCAAAAATCACTTTCTTTCAAGATAAGATCCAATCTTCCTATTCCAATCCTAAAAAACTATTTTCCATCTTCTCCACCCTCTTGGACCCTCCAAAAGCCCCTCCCCCCTCCTCACTTCTGTCAAGCGACTTTGTTACCCACTTTGAAATTTTTTTTGATGATATTCGCTCTTCTTTTTCTGACTCACCTTTACTCACCGCTGGGTCACCAGACCCTCCTTCCACCCACACACTAACCTCCTTTTCCCCTCTCTCTCCAAGTGAGGTTCTTACCCTCATTACCTCTGCCCGCCCTACCACCTGTCCTCTGGACCCTATCCCTTCAAACCTCCTTCAGACTATCGCTCCTGATATTCTACCGTTTCTCACCCACTTCATCAACACTTCTCTAACTTCTGGTCACTTTCCAAACAGTCTCAAGGAGGCAAGAGTAAACCCTCTCCTAAAGAAACCCACTCTCAACCCGTCTGATGTTATAAACTAAAGGCCTGTCTCTCTCCTCCTGTTCCTGTCTAAAACACTTGAACACGCTGTCTTTAAACAACTCTCCTATTATCTCAATCAGAACAACCTTCTGGATCCGCACCAGTCTGGTTTCAAGGCAGGTCACTCCACAGAAACTGCTCTCATTGCTGTCACGGAGGAACTGCACACTGCATCCCTCTCCTCTGTCATCATCCTGTTGGACCTGTCTGCTGCATTCGACACGGTGAATCATCAGATCCTCCTTCGCACTCTCCAAAAACTTGGAGTTTCAGGCTCTGCACTTTCCCTCCTCACCTCATACCTGAAAGACCGTACCTACAGGGTGACTTGGAGAGGGTCTGAGTCCGACCCTTGTCAATTAACTACAGGGGTCCCTCAGGGCTCTGTTCTTGGTCCCCTCCTCTTCTCCCTGTACACAAACTCGCTCGGATCAGTCATTAGCCCGCATGGTTTTTCTTACCACTGCTACGCTGACGACACCCAATTAATTCTGTCCTTTCCCCGCTCAGAGACCCAGGTCGTCGCACGCATCTCTGCTTGTCTAGCTGACATCTCTCAGTGGATGTCTGCTCATCACCTCAAGCTCAACCTTGACAAGACTGAACTGCTCTTCCTTCCGGGAAAAGATTGTCCCACTCTTGACCTAACAATCAACATCGGCACCTCAGTTGTTTCCCCGACTCAGACTGCAAGGAATCTGGGTGTGACCCTAGATAACAACCTGTCCTTCACTGCAAACATCGCTGCTACAACCCATTGCTGCAGATACACGCTTTACAACATCAGGAAGATACGTCCCCAGCTGACACAGAAAGCGACGCAGGTTCTGGTCCAGGCTCTCGTCATCTCACGCCTAGACTACTGCAACTCCCTCCTGGCTGGTCTACCTGCATGTGCCATCCGACCTCTGCAGCTCATCCAGAATGCAGCGGCTCGTCTGGTCTTCAACCTTCCTAAATTTCCGCTCCCTTCACTGGCTTCCGGTAACTGCTAGAATCCACTTCAAGACACTGGTACTTGCTTACCATGCTGCGAATGGATCTGGCCCTTCGTACATCCAGGACATGGTTAAACCGTACACCCCAGCGCGTGCACTACGCTCTGCATCAGCCAAACGACTCGCTGCGCCCTCGCTGCGAGGGGGACCCAAGTTCCCATCAGCAAAAACACGTGGGTTTGCTATCCTAGCTCCAAAATGGTGGAATGAGCTCCCCATTGACATCAGGACGGCAGATAGCTTACACACCTTCCGGCGCAAACTGAAAACTCATCTCTTTCGACTCCACTTCGAGCGATAGAACTATTAACGAAGCACTTTTATACTAATAAAGGACTGGCTTATCTAAAGCCAGTTGAGTAGCACTTGAAATGTTTTTGCTCTATGAAACCTGATGTACTTATATGATTCTGTTTTCTTCAAGTTGTATTTTGTTGGTCGAACGCACTTATTGTAAGTCGCTTTGGATAAAAGCGTCAGCTAAATGCAATGTAATGTAAAAAAGACAAACATGTGAAGGCAGAGGACAGAGAGGGCAGGAGGACAGGTTTGTTCACACCCTTCCCTACCTCTGCTGCAGCCAGAAGAGGCTATCGCTTCTGTGACCCAACGGGACAGGAACACAAAATGAGAACATAATGAGTGCATCTTTATCTCATTCATAAAACAGACTTCAGTGCATTCTGTAAACTGTGTCATCTCTTCATAAAAGCAGACCAGAGGACACACCATGCAAAGCTCAGCTGCTACAGAGCATGCCCTTTTAAAAAGGCCACACACACACACACACACACACACACACACACACACACACACACACACACACACACACACACACACACACACACACACACACACACACACACACACACACACACACACACACACACAGTGTGGGCATGGCACACCTATCACTTACCTTTCCAATCGCCTATGACCACATTCTTCAGAGGCCACAGTATAGAATGAAGAGAGTCTTAGAGAAACAAGCATGAAAAGGACGAGGGTGAGAGGACACAGTTTGTGCAGCAAACAAAAGAAGAGGAGGAGGAAACAATAGAATGAAAATTAAAAAGCAGAAAAGTAGCATTTGGGGAAGAGAAGGGAGAAAATACAGGGCGCAGGGATCAGTGAAATGAAAAAGCAGAAGTGTACGAGTACATATGGGGTTGTGCTCATTAGACAGTGGTAACACCGTGTTAGTTACCTGCTGGAAGACCTGCTTTAGATTTTTTAGCCGGGGTGACATCGTTAGACGTCCTGGCTTCGGAGAATGAAGCTGTCCTTGTTGTTGCTGGAGTCTGGTACAAAAAAATAGAGAAACATTCATGTTATTGAAAGCTTTCCGGAAGCTTCCACGAAGAAATGGTAGCAGGGAACCAACCATTTCCCCCTTACAGTATAAGTTTTACATTTCAGTGCACGCATGCAATGTATGAGCTTATTACCCATCCTTATGACAGGTATACATTTTAAAGAAAAACCACAGCTGACAAATAAAAAGGCCGAGTAGCGGACAGACCATAAAAAAGAAAACTGTAAGGCTTCACAATAGAGCTACTCAAGCAAGTTACAAACTCAAACCTTAAATAGTGTTTGAACATGCATGATAAGGACAGCTCAAAATGTGAATTCCATCCAACTGGACAATTGGCACATTGAAATTAATCTCAAGCGATATGACATCTGTAATGTGTTTAAAATAAAAGAGCTGCAGGTCATGTCAAATCTCATTGTGTGACTGAATGTAAGTACCGCTGCACTGTTGCTGGCGTTGAGGAGGAAGTTAGCCGTATGAGCGTCCATCGGCGGCTGGTTAGGGATCGGCTTGTGGCCCAGAGCCATTCCAACAATGGCCGTCATATGGGTCTCAGTACCGAACACATGGATAGGAATACCTGTGGTCTTCCCTGCAGAAAGAGACAAACAGAGACATAGCTGTTCAAATAAATGGTTTAACATCTTTAAGTTTGTTGAATAAATATGTTACATTTCTTTTAATGACAATTAGTTCTTGGAAGAGAGTCGGGGTCGATCATCTATCAGTGCCTGCCGCTTTTACAGCCAACAATCAAACACTGAAATCAGTTTATCAAGCATTTCTAAAGTAACAAACGATTCTTTGTAGCTCTCATCTCACTCACCTACTTCTCCCATCACCCTCAGCCCCTCCTGGTAGTTGGGTCCGCCACGTCGAACAAAGATGGTCACCTCGTGCTCCTTCAGAGGACCTTGGTAGTCTTTGATTGCCCTGACAATGCCCTAAGGAGAGAGAGAAAGGTGTCGGTCAATAACAGCTGCTCAGAGAGACGGAAATAGAGTGGTGCAGTGACGCATCCTAAAAGCCGGAAGTAAGCTGCGAATGTGTACCTTCCTGTTCACCCGACAAAAACGCAATGCAATTTCTCCATAGGATTTTGGAAAATAGCTGGAAATAAGGTCTGTGGTTGACACGCATTTAAGAGACGGATCACGTTTTGTTCAGTCGGATAATCTCCACATGTCTACCCTACTTTTATAATTTTCTAATCATAAATCTATCGATCATAAATCTATCTATTAGATGATGTGACAGACATGTGGAGATTATCCAACTGAACAAAACGTGATCCGTCTCTTAAATGCGTGTCAACCACAGACCTTATTTCCAGCTATTTCCCAAAATCCTATGGAGAAATTTCATTGCTTTTTTGTCGAGGGAACCGGAAGGTACCCATGCGCAGCTTACTTCCGGCTTTTAGGATGCGTCACTGCACCACTCTATTGGTCTGTGTTTTGGGGTTGGATCATTTAAAAATATCACTCCATCTTTTCCAATGTTACGTACCGTAGCTTTAACATACTTAAAGACCTATAATAAGATTTGGACTGGGGTTTACTTTTCATGATGTCTTTCCTATATTTATGCGTTTCACCTTGAATGTTGCTGCTACGTTGGTGAAGTTGGCAATACTTCCTCCGATGATCAGCACTTTCCCTGCAGGAAACAGAGAGAGTAGTGTTGTTGGGAAGATGTTCATGACTGAAATGCGACACCCCAGTTACAGTTTGGTGACAGCCATGAGGTCTATTGCGGGCAGCCCACACACAGTGAACAGCGGCCTTGTGACAATCTTAACAAAAACATGAAGGTCACATTGCAGAACCCACATTTTATTGCTTAAAAAGCAAACTTGGAAAAGTCCCAAGGAAACGTCCTATTAATATAAAACAGTCAAGCTTGGTTTCCAAAAGTCTGAGACTTGTTGTGGCTTATTTTATTGACCTTGTTGGGGAAAAACAAGTCTCAACGAGTGTTGGCTGCACCGACCTTGAGGATGTTTCTCCCGTGTCATGAGAGAGAGGATTGTTTTAGCGTAGTCGTAGGTCTGCTGCTCACTGGGTGCGCCAGAGTACTCTCCGTAGTTGGCCAGTTCGTCCACCCCTCCCAGGTCACAAATGGTGTCACTAAGGAAGAGGAAAGATGGATGGTTAAGTACTGAGTTCACATTTTAGTTGTTGCTTTTGGTTTAAAAATAACGGTGCAAAAACTGCACTTAATGCTGGCTTCAAGAGAGTCATTCTACATATACCTCAATTTTAAACTTTGCAGCAGAATAAAACACGTCTACAGCCTGGTATGAAAGGTGGCTTTGGTCTCTATAGCTAATTTCCCCCATTAGTGATAGGTGTTCATGGTTTGCATTATATAACTCACCCGTTTAATTACATTAAAAGGCTTAAAGTTGCCAATTATTCGTGCCTTAGTTCACTCGCCGCTAGCACTTTCCGTCTGCTCTGCTCCGTCACCTCTGCCTGACTCATCTCCACCGATAACCTCATTTTTAGATTAGCCGGAAGTTAGACAGTAGCGCTACAGCCGTTTTTTCTACAGGGTATGGTATAATGCATACATGCCTCATGTGCCCACAAGAAAAACTGCATAAGAGACTAGGCATTTTACAATAAAACAAAACTAGAAATAAACAAGAAAGTAGAAAACATACATGTTACGCCATGGAGCAATGACAGTTTCACACAATATTAAAAACTCCATATAGTATTTTTTTTAATCCAGCAAAGCAGATTCGTTAGCTAAAGAAGCTTGATATGAACCCTTATTAAAGATAGGTGTACCTGTAGACTACTGAAGCCCCTCCCCCGGCCACCATGGTCCAGATCCTGCCCTGAGGGTTCAGCAGCGTCAGCTTCAGACTGGCTCCACTCTTTGCATCCAGGTCAGCTATGTATGCCTCCTGCACACGACAAATCATACAGTGGTAATAAGGCCAAGCAGGAGGGCATAACAATGTTGCACTTCAGTTTCAGTTTCATGGGTTAGGGTCCAAACCTGGAGGTTTGGACTTTTTAGTATATTTGAGGCGGTCCAAAACTACACATTGTGTGATGCATTTCAACCCAATAGATCTTAACACACATGTGCATAAAAACCTTCTTTACTGTACTTCAGATCTCACCTCTGGATATGCTTCCCTGCCAAAGGGAGGTGGGAACTCCACATCCCCCCATTTAGCCTTGCAGATGTAATCTGCTGTGGCATCAATCTTGGCTGCCATGTCCAAGACGTACACTCCATCTTTGGTGACGACTGGTTAAGAGAATAAAAGTTGTGCTATTTATTATTGTGATGTTTTCATGTTTTTTCTCAAATGAAGATGTTATAGAAGAATATGCCACAGTGGTACATTTTAACATTTATCATTAATATGCACCATTAGTAAATATTTCCCATAAATTAATAATGAATCCCCTCAAAGTACTTAATTCATTCTGATGAATTTATAATGGTCAATTTGAGCCGTTGGAATAATAAAATAATTGACATATTCCCAAAGTGAAGAATGACACTCCATCTCACTCTTAGTGTCCTAAAGTCTTTGAAGTTTAACATAGTTTGTACCTATAGGGTTGATCTCAAGGTAGGTGAAGTAGAGGTCCTCGTACAAGTTGAAGAGGCCAACTATGAAGCTGGCTAAGACTCTTTAAGAAAAACAAAAACATTCCATTAACATTGGGAAACGTTAAGAACATTCATATATTATACATTACATAACATATTATGCTAAGTGCTGCCACTTATAACATACAGTGCAGCAATAATTTAATTCAGAGTGGATCACACTTTGACTAGTTTCTTCACGCACTCTGCCTTTGGAAGCAAACAGAAATGTTTTGCTGCATCAAAGAGGGATCAGCATGTTCTCTGCACCCCAGGGATGGTATTTGGAAAAGGGAAAAACTAATCTAAAAAACACATCTCAAGGTAACCCAACAGCTAAAATACACAAACTACAATGAAGAGAGACTTTGATGTATTGGAAGCAAAAGATAGCAACAGTTACAAAAGGAATCATTCAAAACCAGGTTAGGAGGATATAAGCCTATTTTAAGCAAACGTTTTAAATGTTGCAAAACAGAAATGCAAATTATTTGCACATTCATCTGCCAGCAGTGAAGCAATAAACTACGCTGCAAAAAGTGTAGTTTCGTCATCATTTTGTGGTACATGCTACACTTTCTGCATGGCTGTTATCTGGCAGTAAACGGATCTGAAGGTTTGAGGTTAGAGGTTGCAAGTCTGAGAAAAATGGTGAACTCTTCCGAATGTTTATAACTGGGCTAGTTTTTAAATGGGAAAGCTTAAATTGTTCTTTCATGGCAGTTCATTTTGCCTTGTTTTATGCTGTCTGGAGAAATATAAATCCAAGAAGATGCAAAAACACGGGCAATTCAGACGTTTTCATTTTGTATTTTCATACTAATGCAGCACTTCTAAATACACTCATATGAAGTTAAAGGAAACACAGCTTGTGGTAGGTGGGACAATAACTATATATATCATGATTTCAAATATGGATGCTTATCAGTGTTGTATTTGTAGCAATGGCCTAACACATGAGGGGGTACAACCTCTTATCCAAGTATCTCTGAAGAGAAATTGGGTTGAGTTGACTGCTGTAGATCTTATAGTGCGGATGAAAACTAAATGAAAGCATGTGTCCTTACTGTTTCTTGTCTTCAGGAACGTGTGTGAGAAGCTGCTCAGTGACCTGGTCCTCACTCAGCTTTTCGTTCACTGCCACCATCAGCCTCTCAGCCTTGGCGTCCACATCGCCCACCTCCACTCCTCCCTCGTGGTGGAAAAGCACTTGGTCGCCCTCACGTGTGGCATAAATACACACATAAAACTCCTCCTCCTGGGTAGATCAGTACAGCGAGTTCAAGCATATATAAACAGAGATTTCTTTGGTAAACTGCAGAGCGACTGTTTCACCTGTTTACAAAAGGCTGACGAGCTTGTTTGACAAATATCCAATTTAGCAGAGCTGACCTTGAGACATGTTTTCTCACAGTCATGGGTGACACATATACTGCAACACTATTTCATCTTAGTTTGTTCTCTTCACAAAACTGTGAGGGCATCAACCACCTAATCACATGACCTGAATACAAAAACATATTTGTGTCTTTGCCCTGGAGATTTGACGTACTTGCTAAGCGTGGTTACTAGTGGTTATTGTTTGTGACTTAAGGGTAAACAAATTAACTTGACTTTCAGAACAGGATGTGAAATGATGAAACGTAGCATACATCACCTGTGGGTGTGGAACAAACGGCTCAATGAGGAAGTTCTTCAGCACACCCTTTGCTTTTCCGACCTATTCAAGACAAACACTTGATGTCATCAAACCCAAACACGTCATTTCATACTCCTCCCAGGTTTAAATGTATAATATACTGTCAGATCTACACACCCAGTTTTTCTATGTTCACCATGCCCTTTTTTCTATTCAAAGAAAGATGATAGAATGACGAATGATACTAAAAAAGCTAATTGAATGGCATGTCTGGCCCAGAGGTCGCGTTAACCGAATATTTTCCGTCTATGACGGATTTATTTTAACAATGACGGACAAATCTGAAAGCAGTCCGTCATTTTGACAGATTAGAACAAACTCGAACAGCGCCAAAGTTTCCCCGCAGCGAGGCTCCGGTGTTATGCATGCCCTCCAAAAAGGAAATCATACCGTTTCCAAACCTAACTGTGCCGTACAAATCATTGAAATGTCTGAGTTTTGGCTTTACGCTGTGCACGCTCCCGCGAGGTACAGCAGCCATGCATAACACGGCGCATGTGAACTGTCTTCACCCCCCGTCAGAGTTGTGTAAAGGCCGAGGGGGAATTCTGGATTTTGACGGAAGTTTTACGATCCTGTCCGTCAAAATGACGGGCAGCGAAAAAGTCTAGCGCAACCTCTGGTCTGGCCAGCAAATGAGTTTTCCTTTTTTAGCCGTAGTATGGAGACAGTTTGTTTGAAGTGCAGCAGGGCATGTTTGCATGTATGGTGGACCAGAAATAGTCCATGCTCTTCCTTGGCATTATATAACCTCTGACCTGGCAGATCTAAACATAAGCCCATGGCCTCTGGCACTGGACACACCAGCCTTCTGCACATAACAGCTCCACATGCTGGGACTAATGCACAAGAAAAAGAAGCGTACAGTCTTTTCAGTTACTGTACAAAAGATGTGATTTACTGCATGGGTCGGACTGTTTTACTGCATTGTTATCTTCATTTTATGACATAATTAGTCAGAAAAGTCTCCCTGAGAAGCAGAGACCATGGGTGTTTCTCAATGTCGAGGACGCTTGCTTTGCAGCACATGTCTTCTTTGCTTCAGAAGCGAGGCAAGAATCCTTCCTAGCCTCGGAAAACGAAGAATTGTGGAACAGGCTAACAGGTGTGCGTCATATGCGAGGCCCCGCCTTTAATGGAGCGCAATTACCGCCAAAGATTTGGAAATTGGTCCGTGCGCAAAGCATTGTAGGGATTTTAAGACCGCGGAGTCTGTGCAGCCTCGAAATTTCTCGTTACGAAGTACGCCGGCCTCGGTAGAATTCCAAGTATGCTGGACATTGGAACAGTCCTTTGGCGGCACTCGATGACGTAGTATGCTTGAAATAGTGGCTCTGGAGCAGCCTTCCTCGACATTGAGAAACACCCCATGTGCTAAACATATCTAAGACGCAATGCATTTATATCGCTAAATGAGACTTCTTTGTGTTTTTTATAACATCACATACCAGTCATACTACGTCAGCTGTTATTCCACATATTTCAATATTGGAGGATTATAAAGTGGAAGATAAAAAGATAACAAAGATAAAGAAACAAATGAAGACAATAAAGTTATCTGAGAGCGGATACACGGTCAAAGTATTTGATACTTATCCTAGCAAATTCTGAGAAAATGTAAAAAACTTGAATAGGGATACAAACAACAAACAGCTTTCCCTTTAGTAAAAAAGCCTGATTACTCTTTGTCAGGATGACAAAACAGCCAGATGACCAGTAAAGCTGCTTTCGGAATGTCATGTAAGGAGTGTAAAAAATGTTTCTGGTAGATTACTTTTCATCTACTTGTGCTTGGTTTTTTGGTGCCTGATAAACAGTGTGTTTGATCTGTTACCCCAGAGTTCCTGGATCATATTTCATTGGCTTTAAAAAGGTAATGCTGGGCTGCTTTCTGTCTAAAGGCTCACTAAGACAGACAGAGAGATTACTCACAGTGGTCTCCTTCATCATACGGGTTTTAAGCCACTCTTGGACACCCTGCAGGTCCAGGTTGATGCCCACCAGCCCGAGCTTTCCCCGCCGTTTGATTAGTTGATCTGGCTTCACCACCAGCCGCTGTAGGGAAGAAAGTCAACGATTAATTAATTATTTTAAAAAGGCACAGATTTGCACCGATACTGGTGTGACAAATACAACTCATATACGCTAAAGTAGGATTCTTGGAACACAGAATTATAAATAATTTGACACAAACTAAAACATATTAAACTCAGATATGTGGTATTTCCTAATGCGGTACCACTTTACAATAAGACTACCCTTATAAAGGGTTTATAATTAGGTTGTAAACACTTTATTAATCATTAAGAACCATTTATAAACCAGTTCTAACATGTTTTCATACATCAACACAGGCGCACTATTTGGCAAGATGACTAAGCCTTATATTGGCTACTTAGCGAGAATCAACTCAGTGAGCAACAGATACCAAGGATGCTGGCTGATGAAGAAGACGAAGTAAGCTAAGTAGCCAATATAACGGGAGGTGTGTGGCGCAGTGGATAGAGCCTTGGTGTTGGGATCAGGGGGTCACAGGTTCAAACCCCACTGCAGTCAGCATGTCGTTGTGTCCCTGAGACACTTCACCCCAAATTGCTCCTGTGGGGATTGCCCACAGTATTGAGTATGTACGTCGCTTTGGATAAAAGCGTCTAACAAGTAACATGTAATGTAAGACTTAGCAGTACAGATAAATGTGGGCTCACTATTTGGCAAGCAACCGGTCACAGTTGCCCTGTTTATCTCATGTCTTATAAAAGCTTATTAATGATTTATAAAGTGTTCACAACCTAATTAATAAATAATAAATGAATTACAAACTATTCGTAAACCCTTTATAAGGGTAGTCTTATTGTAAAGTGGTACCCCTAATGCTACTAAAACAGTCAAATAATGCATCTAGACACATCACATGCCACTGTGAAGGTAATCACATTATGTCCAGCAAATCATGCACACAGTCACAGTACATACAGTAGATAATTAGCCTCATGACTTCAATCAGCAGAGGAAAGAGTCTCAAACTAAGACAGGCGAGTAGAAGGATGCGTTGTGTCTTTCTCTGCAGCCTTACCTCAGTCAGCAGCCATGGATGATCCTGTGCCAGGCGGACCCAGTCGGTCTCAGCCGTGGCGTTGGCATAGCGGAAGCGGTTCTGCACGGCCGCCGAGGTGCAGATATACTTATACAAGAACTCTTTTCCCGTCTGCTCCGAGATGGCTTTCGCTGACATGGTGGCGCTGGATAGCACAGGACCTTCAGGAGAGAGAGGCCGACAGTTCATTTCACAGAGTTACAACATCACCACATGTCGACATTGATGGATAAAACAAACAAAAGCCAGGACAAATCGATTCGTTTTTTTTTGCATTCCTTCGAACAAATATAGAAATAGAAATAAATTGTGAATCTCCTGAATAATAAATCCATGTTTTGTGCATCTGTTTTTTGGGACACATTTTATCAATCACCTATTGTCCTACAAGCTTTGATCTAATGACATGCATATTTCATTAAGTTCAAGTTAACCGTTAAAGTTTTCTGGTGCTTTGCCAGCAATATTTGTGTTTGATATTTCCACAGCGACAAATCCTTTGCTACAGATCGAGCTAAAGCGTAAAAGTATTCCCTGTCTGCTGAATGGTCACATGTTTATACAATTCACTTGAGCTGGCAATGAAGGCAACTTGTAACATCCAGACCAAGAGAGAGTTAAGGTCCACAGCCAATGGATGTGCACCAGAACTTAAAACGGTATGAAATAGTGCGTGAACTATATCCTTAAGGCAGAAAAATCCTGGGTTTATTTGATTGATTCATAAGAATAATGTCTCTGTTTAGGCTACATCATCATCTCAAACTATCATAATAGAGAGGGAAGAGGATATTCAAAAATAAATAGTACTATTTATTATTTAACAAACGTTAAAGTCATCACGTCAATTTCATCAAAATTCACACAGCTTGACCAAATGAGGCATTTTCGTGTTTTTGCAATTCAGTCTAGTCACAAAAAGGATATGAACCTCAAAAAGCAAGCAAACTATCCTTTTGTTATACGTTTGTGTGGTAAGATGTGAAGTTGCACTGATGATCCTGAAATTCCTGTTTTAAACGCGTTGTCGTACCTGCTCTGCAGACATGTCACTTACAATACTGCATCAGAAATAATGTAGAAAGCAATGAAGAACCTTTACAACCACTTCTAAAGACCAAACAGAGATAAGCAGTGAGCCTTTGTAACATGCATCATATCTCCCCTGCCTTTGTGTATCTGATAACACGTTATGATGGCTTTATTTCAGCTTTACAAATGCTCACAGTAGCTTTATGATAGCAGCTTCTGCATCAGCTGCAGCACTACAACATATAAAGTCAGTCTGCAAGAGGTATGTCAAATGTAACCTGGGGGTGTCTGGCTTGGATTTAGCTTAGCACGCTATCCTGTCATGCTTTCATAGCCAGATGTCCCAGTGTTTAGCCTTCCATAACCCACGGGTCCAGCCTATTGTTTGAAGCTATTTAGCCGTGAAATATGTGTCACTGTACAGGCTCCTGAGATGAAGGAGACTGGGATTGGTAGGAGGCAACGGCAACATCACATGGGGCCAGAAAGGGGGTACTGTTTCAGCTGCTATAGCATCACTTTTCCCATGTATTCTGTAATGCTACATCTTGTGCGTCAGGCCAACACCAGTGAATGGATCTCCTGTACCAGCTACCACACCCACTCCACATAGTTAGTAGCCTCGACTAGATAACCAAGCAAGTTCAATAACGTGCTGTGCGTAAATAAGGAACTTCCTGGAATGGAGATGCACACATGTATAAGGTGAAGCGAAAGTCGACAAGTGAGCTAGGTAAAGGAAACAACAAGCTTTTCAGGACGGTCAGGAGAGGGAGCTGATGTAGTTATGTTTGTGATTCATTTCTGCTTTTTCTCACCAGGCAAATTATGCGTGGTTTGAATATATCCCAAAGATAAACAGCTAAATTAAACAAAGTAATAAGGAGTTATACTTGTTCTGTCTTAGGCGGGGTGACAGCTGTTGTATCAGATATTACAGCATCTTACACCTGAAAGTCCTGTCTGACTGGCTAACTGCTGTAGCCTAACACTGCTGCATGCAGCCTTTTGCTAACTGGTGAAGCTAACGTTGGTGTACAAAAACAACATTTAACGGGATGGGGTTACCTTGTCAATTAAAGTAGCACCTCCTTGAAGTGCAATAATCACGTCCCGGTGTAAAATGGCACAGCTAAAGAGTCACTACTTGTTGTTGAACCCGCTTCTGCCAGTTGCCACCTCGCCTCACTTTCGTCCCTACTGTCTCACCATAATCTTGCGACCGATTACACGTCGGCGCCGGCGCCTGATTGGTCCAAACCTGGTCACGTGATTACGTCAGTTACGCCCACATGACTACATGAGGCCACCCAAATGTTTATATCTAAAAATTGTGTAATAATATTTAAAATGTGCAAAACTTTTATTTATTTGTATATTTCCCTAATATTCTTACTATTCCTGCAATTTAGACACATTTAATAGATTGTGTTCATGTTTTCTTTTATAATTTGTTTATAAATATTCTAAAATGAGCCACTTTAAAAAAAAAATGTATCTGTGCTGGAAGAAGAAATAATACCCCTAACTTAAATAAAAGTAGACTAAGAAATACCAAAATAAAGTCTTCCAAAACTATTTCTTTACACATTGCATAGGTTTTTTTCATTATGAGAATACATATGTAAAACAAGCATGCTTTAGGGAAACCCTCTTTCAAAATGGTATACAATATGTTTTTGGATTATATAATATAGCAGAAATACTTTTTCAGCTAGTTGAGCTGTCATTTAAAAACTACTCCACGGTATATTCTGTAAGGCAGTTTACTCTATAACAGTTCATCAACTTTTTAAAGCAGATTACATGTTTTTGTGTAAATCCTAATGAAAGTAACTATGGCTGTCAAATGAAGATAATACATTATATTAATTGAAGTAGTATTTTAGTAAATTACTCCATACATAACTTACATATAAGTCCCAACATTACAGTAAAAGACGAGCCTTTATTTTTCGTAATAAGAAAAGCATGTCAGTAATACTGTGACAAGTTTAAAAATGATACATAGATCAGTGATAGAACAATTAACAATAGAAGTTTCCAACCTACCATCAGTGCCCCTTTCAAAACAGGTCGAGTAGGGTAAGAGCTGTACTGACAGAACGTGCATTACAAGTATGGGTGGATGATAGCCAGGCGTGATTGACAACACATGAGATGAAGTATTTTATGTTTCGGAAAATAATTTTCCTTCGCTGGCCAGATGTTAAACACGTCCTTTAAAAGAGCCCAAAAACAAAAACCAACGTGCTATACAAGTGTAAATGCTGCCTTTTGCAAACAGGACTTGCTCTTGAGCCTTTGCTGTACTAGTAAGAAGATGAACTGATCTGGTGTTTCTGGTAAGGCACCAATTACATTTCAATGGGGCAGATGTGTTATCGGTGCTTTAGAGAGTAGGAAATCTGTAGGTGTGTGTGTGTGTGTATTTTGGCCTGTAAAAAAAAAAAAAAGACTTGCGCAATCTGAAAGCAAAGATGATGTGAAAAACATTTACAAATGAGTCTCTTAAAAAAGGAGGAAGACAATGAACACTGGCATTATGCTGTATACAGGTTAGGATATACAGTACAATAAATATAAATAGACTAAGGGAAAACTGAAGAAGAAAAAAACATTTATGGACAAAACGCTTTACATTCGAGTCAAATATACAATGCAGCATGGAGAAGAAACAAAAAACCCTGCACGTTGATTCTATAAATTTGCAGAGTGAGCCAAAAAACCTGAACACGCGCTCGCAAGAAACCGGTGTTGTCCTATAAAGGCTGTCCTGAGGTCAGTTTAGACATTGAACTTCCACAGCATATTGACTCTTGCTCTATGGAGACATGCTGTCCCAGGAGAACCTTAAAAAAAACGTATGCCATGTTAAGTCTTCTAAAAATCAATCATGATGCTTACACTTCCAATTAATTTCCACCAACTGCTTACTTCTGAAAGTATAGGCAGTTTAACAAGATTTAAATTTAGTATCATTTTGATTTTGGCAAAAGGGGCATGCTCTGATCAGCTGATCCAAACCTCCTAAAAAAAAAGACTTCTTAAGCACTTTCTTATTTACAATGTTAATTCTTAACTAAAGTCTCTCAATTATCCTTTCCACTTTTTGTTAGCATCAATGCGGGGCAGAGAGTTTAAGAGTGTATGGAGTAATCAAAAACACCTTTAAAAAAAGAAAGAAAATAGTGGGGAGATTTTGTGAGACACTCAGGAGTGTGAGCGTCAGGAGGTGACTGTGGGTCCAACTTGAATCTGTCCACTGCAGGGCGGCATTTTCCCGCATGCTCCTTCACTTTAACCAAACTGGAAAAAGAAATTTCCAGGTCCAGAGTCTTGAAAAAAAGAAAAAGAAAGTTAGTTCATATCATGTAATTTCTCTTATCAATTATTCTGTGCTTCAATAAACTAAAGCAGTGGTTCTCAACTGGTCAGGCCTCAGGACCCACTTGTTCCTTTGTTAATAGATCACGACCCGACATTTTGAACCACTCAAATCTATTCAATAAAAAATCATGCTGTAATATATACGCTTTTCAGCATACAATATTAATTAAAGTGAAGTACAGTGCATACATCCCTTATATCCTTTCACAGAACTAAAGTATGCTTTAAAAAAGGTTTAATGAGATGATGGAATCAAAGCTGAACTGTATAACATAAAAAGACACACGTGCTGGGGGTCTGGGGGGTTTCTCCCCCAGGAGATTTTTAGAAATACTAACATATAAACTACGCATTCTGGTACTCTGAGAAGAAAATAAATAAATCTATTACTACCCGACGTATTCATAATATTTTATGCCATTGTTTGTTTTTCACTTTGTTCTGACAGCTGAACTTGCTGCTCCTCAGAGAGAAGAGCAAAGAGGAGAGTCTATGATAGCTCCCATTGTTCTGTGACCTGTCAGTCATCAAACCGGGGGTCATATTTCATTATGTGTTCATTTTTATCTGAAGTTGTACCCATGGATGTATAAAGAATAATTCTACCGCAAAGTTATTCTCCGTGGGGCTTTCCGGCAATAATCTTGATTCTGATTGGCCAGAAGACTCGAAAAAACATCAGCAAAGATGTTTTATTCAGAAGATGATCACTACGTGACAGAACTGTTTATGGTCTCCGGTACTTCTAGTCCAACGCCTACTGCATGCACAGCGTTAGAAAATCGGGCCTTCAAAATAAAAGTTTGACTTAAAAAAAAAAAGGAAAAGAAATACTTTTTTTATTTCTTTCTTCACTCACACATCTGCAACCCAATAGAAATGGGTCCGCGAACCACTGAACTAAAGGATGTCTGAACTGGGCAAAATACATACCTGGACTAGAGTCAAAACTATATCCTCCCCCTCCTCCTTGTCCTCCTTGTCCTCCTCCACCTCCACCACCATGGCCGCCAAAGAAAGCCCTGAAGATGTTGTTTGCATCAAAATCTAGGAAAAGATAATATAGCAGAATTAGCTGGTGACGATGAGGTATAGGTAGAACAAGATGATTCATTAGGCTAAACAGAGTGGAGGTGAATCAAGCTATTTGACACTGAACATATCATAATACAGTATCACCACTGCATTGCATATGTACACTACAGAGAGATACAGGAAACTAATAGTGTCCTGTACCTAAAACAAACCCTAAAGTTAAAGGTGGGTTATTGGGATCCGTTGAGTACTCACAGAGAAACACAGCATTAAAGAGGCATATGATTGTGTTCTAAAATATATATATACACCTTTAAAATACTTTTTGTAAAATACAAATGCAGGTTCAATGTACATTTATCAAGGAAAAAAAAAATGTGTAAAAACCTCTACCTCCGCCGTCACAGGAGCCTTCGTCCTCCAGGTCGTGGCCGCTGTCGTAGCGCATCTTCTTCTTGGGGTCGGAGAGCACAGTGAAGGCCTCGCCCACCTCCTTGAACTTCTTCTCCTCCTCCTTCTGAACCTCTTGGGTCGCTGCACTGTGGCGATCTGCAAGACGATGAAGCAATACAGAAACCTTGAGATAAATAATCCTTCAAATGTAATCAGCAGGGTTCATACACTTTTTCACCAATGACTTTTACCTAATTTTCCATGACCAAAAAAATTACTCTTTCTCAGCTGTACCACTGAAAATGGTTTATTTTAACATGGAACAGGAAAATAAGATCTGAAACATGTTGTGTCTATCTAAAACAAATCAAATAGTAGGCTTACTAGCTTCTACAGGCTAACTAAAATCTCTCACCAGCAAAATACCTCGTCAGTTAAATGCCATTTTACGTTCCATTACTATACGGTATTTATTATCATTATAGTATTACTATTTCGGCGATTAGATCAAATATAAATGATATTTGATGCAACTTTAGTCACATTTCCATGAAAAATATTGTTTTCCATAACTTTTCCAGGGCCTGGAATTAGTATTTTGAATTTCCATGACTTTTCCAGGTTTTTAATGACCGTAAGAACCCTGAATCAGAGGTGGTATCCTGCATGTTGGTGCAAAGACCAAGAGACCTACCAGGGTGGTGCATGAGGGCCCGTTTGCGATACGCTTTTTTGATCTCGTCTTCGGTGGCGCTTTTGCCGACTCCCAGCACCTTGTAGTAATCTTTCCTTTTACTCTTCTTCAGCTCCAGCTGTGCCGTCTTCAGCAGATGCTTGTGCTCTAAAAAGGGATCAAATGTGAGTGGTGAAATTTGAGCCAATCTATCAGTTAAGAAAAGGTAACCATGCAGAAAACAAACACCAGCTTACCTGATGTTTTTTCTGTCTGGTAAACTTTTTCATAGTCGCGCACGGCCTCCTCATACTGCTCTGTGTTCATGAAACTAAGAGGTCACAAAAGGTATTTTAAAAAAACTGCACAATACTGAGCATACAATAAGTCAAATTGTCTTCATGTCTGTGGAACATACCACTGAGCTCTTCTTAGGTAGGCCTTGATGTAGGTATCATCGAGTTTGATGGCACTGGTGCAGTCTTCAATGGCTTCATTAAGTTTCCTCAGCTGTAGAAGAGGAAAAAGAGCCTGAACACTTTGCAAGATTTCTATTTAAAAGCATATAATAAGACAGCATTATTTATAAAATGCCTTGGAATGGCAATATGCCCTTTAATTCCTTACCTTTACTCCTGCCGTGGCTCTGTTGCAGTAGAGTTTAGCGTTGGTCTTGATGTTGTTGGGGTCTATCGTCAGGGCCTCCGTGTACAGCTTGTAGGCAGCGTCATAGCTGCAGCTCTTAAATGCCAGGTTGCCTTCATCTTTTTTGGCTTTTAATGCTTTGGCATTCTGATTTAGAAAGGGAACAATTCACTGTTACTTTAAAAAATATCGACTCAAACTTGAAGTGAAATTTAAGCCCGAGTGGGTCTGTAAAGAACACTGTTTTTCACAACAATACCAAAGGTGTGTATAGAGTGCCACAGTGACGCGTCCTAAAACCTGGAAGTAAACTCCTTCCGGTTCCTTCGACAAAAACCAATGCAATTTCTCCATAGGACTTTGGAAAAATCCTATGGAGAAATTGGAAGTGGTAAAATGCTAACTAAAACCGGGTTTTAGGATGCGTCACTGTGGCACTCTATGGTGGAGGGCCATCCAGTCAAACAAATCAACATCTATCTAGTATTTCTTAACCGTCTTTGTGAGCATCTGAATCTGTGTTGCACTGTGCCAAAACATACACAACTAAGATAACACTGGCAGAATTTGTCATGCAAATCTGGATTTTATTCATTCAAAATACTTGATTTTCTCAAATAGATACTGCGTGAGGAGGAAGAAAATAATTCCAATCTTACCCTGCAGGCTAACCGAGCCTTCTCGTGGTCAGGAGCCATGCGCAGAGCCTGGACAAAGAACTGCACGGCTTTATCGATGCAGTCCTCGTAGTAGAGACAGAGGCCTCGGACGTAGAGTGCGTCTGCGTTCGTGGAATCCATTCGAAGGATATCACTGTAAAAGAAAGTATAGTGAAAGATCCGAAGAATCTGTAAATCTAATTCCTCTTCTTAGAAAGCAACTAAAGCAGAACCTGTAAACATATTTCAAGTTAAATCAATTCAAGAAAAAAAAAGTATCACGGTAACTGTAACAAAACCATCATACAGTACCCACTTTGAAAAAAAGGTTGATGATATTCGCTCTTCTTTTTCTGACTCACCTTTACTCACCGCTGGGTCACCAGACCTTCCTTCCACCAACACACTAACCTCCTTTTCCCCTCTCTCTCCAAGTGAGGTTCTTACCCTCATTACCTCTGCCCGCCCCACCACCTGTCCTCTGGACCCTATCCCTTCAAACCTCCTGATATTCTACCGTTTCTCACCCACTTCATCAACACTTCTCTAACTTCTGGTCACTTTCCAAACAGTCTCAAGGAGGCAAGAGTAAACCCTCTCCTAAAGAAACCCACTCTCAACCCGTCTGATGTTATAAACTACAGGCCTGTCTCTCTCCTCCCGTTCCTGTCTAAATCACTTGAATGCGCTGTCTTTAAACAACTCTCCTGTTATCTCAATCAGAACAACCTTCTGGATCCGCACCAGTCTGGTTTCAAGGCAGGTCACTCCACAGAAACTGCTCTCATTGCTGTCACGGAGGAACTGCACACTGCCAAAACTGCATCCCTCTCCTCTGTCATCATCCTGTTGGACCTGTCTGCTGCATTCGACACGGTGAATAATCAGATCCTCCTTCGCACTCTCCAAAAACATGGAGTTTCAGGCTCTGCACTTTCCCTCCTCACCTCATACCTCAAAGACCGTACCTACAGGGTGACTTGGAGAGGGTCTGAGTCCGACCCTTGTCAATTAACTACAGGGGTCCCTCAGGGCTCTGTTCTTGGTCCCCTCCTCTTCTCCCTGTACACAAACTCGCTCGGATCAGTCATTAGCCTGCATGGTTTTTCTTACCACTGCTACGCTGATGACACCCAATTAATTCTGTCCTTTCCCCGCTTAGAGACCCAGGTCGTTGCACGCATCTCTGCTTGTCTAGCTGACATCTCTCAGTGGATGTCTGATCATCACCTCAAGCTCAACCTTGACAAGACTGAGCTGCTCTTCCTTCCGGGAAAAGATTGTCCCACTCTTGACCTAACAATCAACATCGGCACCTCAGTTGTTTCCCCGACTCAGACTGCAAGGAATCTGGGTGTGACCCTAGATAACAACCTGTCCTTCACTGCAAACATCGCTGCTACAACCCGTTGCTGCAGATACACGCTTTACAACATCAAGAGGACACGTCCCCAGCTGACTCAGAAAGCGACTCAGGTTCTGGTCCAGGCTCTCGTCATCTCACGCCTAGACTACTGCAACTCCCTCCTGGCTGGTCTACCTGCATGTGCCATCCGACCTCTGCAGCTCATCCAGAATGCAGCTGCTCGTCTGGTCTTCAACCTTCCTAAATTCTCCCACACCACGCCGCTCCTCCGCTCCCTTCACTGGCTTCCGGTAACTGCTAGAATCCACTTCAAGACACTGGTACTTGCGTACCATGCTGCGAATGGATCTGGCCCTTCCTACATCCAGGACATGGTTAAACCGTACACCCCAGCGCGTGCACTACGCTCTGCATCAGCCAAACGACTCGTTGCGCCCTCGCTGCGAGGGGGACCCAAGTTCCCATTGGCGAAAACACGTGGGTTTGCTGTCCTGGCTCCAGGATGGTGGAATGAGCTCCCCATTGACATCAGGACGGCAGATAGCTTGCACATCTTCCGGCGCAAACTGAAAACTCATCTCTTTCGACTCCACTTCGAGCGATAGAACTATTAACGAAGCACTTTTATACTAATAAAGGACTGGCTTATCTAAAGCCAGTTGAGTAGCACTTGAAATGTTTGGCTCTATGAAACCTGATGTACTTATATGATTCTGTTTTCTTCAAGGTTGTGTCTTCCTGGTCGAATGTACTTATTGTAAGTCGCTTTGGATAAAAGCGTCAGCTAAATGCAATGTAATGTAATGTAATACAGCGTGAAGCTAACCCCAGTGGTTCCTACCTTGCAACGGACTGGGCTTCTGGATAGCGACCCAGCAGAGCCAGACACTCGGCCTTGAGGATTTTGAAGCGGTGGCAGGCTGTAGCCACAACTAAGGCCCGGTCCATGCAGTACACCACCTGGATCAGCACAAGAGCCCATTAATACATTTCAATATTTGATTAATTGAGCAATGAATTCAAAAAGGAAGTTAAGATTCTGCATTTACCCGTCCTAGTATAAGCAGAACTATTAAACACAGTTTTCAACGGACAGTAAGTACAGTACAGTACAAATAATCAAGTGGATGCCTGTAAACTGTGTCAGCAACGGCTCTCGACTAACTTTTTTCACCATCCTCCCGGAACCGTCCTGAAATACAATCTAAGCCGTCCCGAAATGAATGTGGACCATCCTGAATTTAAAATATTAGTTTTTCTCCATTATCATTAGTTAAAATCATTCAAAGTGACCTTTAACATAAATAAAACATCATACAAATCTAGATGATAATTCATCAACCTTTTTATTTGAGGAAATCAGTCAAACACAGAAACAAAGGCCAAATATATAAAAAAAACAAACACAAATGAGAAAGTTACTCTAATATTGAATCCAATCAAGTCCCATCCAACTAACAAAAAAATCCAACACTCTGTCCTGAAGACAGAACCCAGAGTAACCACTAACCAGGATGACAGTCTGTATCACAGTCAGGAGACCTTTACAAACGGCCCCGCCCCCTCGCACAGACGGGAGAGCGAGATCTCGTCTGGATTGGAAAGATCGAAAATACATCATAGACGCATGTTGTAGTCTTATGGCATATTAGAAACGGAGTTGGCGAAACTAAAACTGCGATATAATGTTTATGTAGCAATAATACATAAGACATATATTTTTTAAATGTCTCCAGTACCATAACGTCGGAGCTTAACGGTACCACGTTCTTTAATAATTCCGGCCCGGGGCCCGTTTGATACCGGGGCTCGGTACCCATCCCTAAATGGGGAGAGGCGCAGCATATTGCTAAGGACTGAATGCGATGGAGAGTTCTCATTATTCGCAGGCCAGGAATTCAGTATACTCTGTGTGTAAACATTTTTTATCCTCCCCGAGACGACGGGACGCCCTTAAGCTCGAGCCCTGCTGTCAGCGTGTTTAAATATTGGGCTTTTACAAACCAAAGCATATTCATAGATTATAAAAGTTGTTAGAAATACCTAAATGCAAAGAAAAACTAGTCGGACAACGTGAACAACTGATCACATCTTAAATGGGCTGTACTGTTAATGAGTTTGGTGGGGGGGAAAGAAATAGGGAATAAAATACCTTTCTGAAATCCCGTTTTTCAAAGCCAAACTCTGCCATTCGTTCGTACTCTAGTAGAGTTGAGGCAGTCTTATTCTGAAACATAACAAGGACAATAATCAAAACTTTATTTACATTGTTAAGAGATGGGTTTGAGTTACAAGATTCAACTTTTAGCTTCAAGGCTGTTCTTAGTATGTTATTCAATTGAATGCATTCCTAAATGAGAATAACATGAAATCAAAAATGTTTAGGTGATCCGCACCTCCTGCAGGGCCTCTCTGTTGCTAGGCTCCAGCTCCAAGACCTTCTGAAAGCAACGATTGGCCGCCATGGCGTTTCCCAACAACAGGTGGCACTTTCCCTCACGTAGATGACCCTGGACAGAAGGGAAACATTTCCTACTTAAAACAGCGTAAAAACGTAAACCCACTTTTCCGTGTATCTTAGTGGCAGGCAAAGCAAAAAAATGAAGATGATGTTCAAACCGACCTTCATGAAACATTCATCCAACCGCACAGCCTGCTGGGAGTCTTCTAGGGCCTCACGAATGCGGAAGAGCATCATGAGGGTAGCTGCCCTGTTCCCATAATAACTGGCTGTTTTGGGACTGGCACCTTGAGAGAAGGCAAAGTGAGATGTAGGGACAAAAAAGTGATGAGTACAGCAAATATATTGTATGTCCATTAAAATGGCAGAAGTCAAGTTACAGTTTTAAAATACATGGAGGGGACATGTGATGGGAAATATCTAAGGAGGGGGCAATGACTCATATGTCACTGTAATGTATTTTGCTGAGAGAGGCGCAACAAAATGAGGATATCAGCATTTTTCGATAGGAGAATATGAATAAAAATTGGTCAATAGGTAAAGAGTGGTAATCTTACCTATGGCCTTGGTATAGTAGTTGAAAGCCTCGGAGTAATCTTTCTTGCTGTAGAATGCATTTCCTTGCTCTTTGAAGCCTTCAGCCTCACTGCAGAAAAAAGAAACAGAAATCAATGTCAAGTTGGAACAGGTAAATTACAAATAAATTAGTAATGTTCTCATCAAATATAGCTAAATCAAACTTTTCAGCATTAAATCAGACAACAAATTAAAAGCACTACATAAAGGTTTGAAAACAGACCAGCTGGTTTGCTCATCTGTTTCCATCAGAGCATTTCTTGGAAACGAGGAAGAGCCTGAAAGGACTGAGTTAGTTACACCTGGAACTGGGACAGTAGCGCAGGGCACACTCAGTCCTGGAAGCTGCAGTACTAAACATAGCAGTGAAATTCACCTGCTGCAGCCCTTTCAAGAGCCAAGTGTTAAAGGGTAAATCTACACTGTCTGATTCAAGGGAGAAGCTGCCTCTCTGTGTGACGAAGTATTCAAAACAATTGCTTTTCATGCCACACCCAAGTCAGTGACATCATGGGCAGTAACATTTTCCATCAATTCAGATTGGGAATCAGGAGAAATGAAACCAAAAGATAGGAATGCAGGCAGCAAGGTCAACACAACTTATAACAATGATTAGTGTTTGATATCATAAATATATTCACCCTTAATTTGACATAAGAATATTACACTTTAAAAATTGTACTTTGGCAACATTTTGCCTTGAAATTTGAAGATTGCACTAGTACATTTTTTTTATTTCAATATGTTTTATATTTATTGTTGAGCTCTGACTTGGAGTTTGACCAGAAATGCAGCTGACTACTTATGTAACACATCTCACTGAACCCTTCAGAAGCTTTCATCAACACTTTTTATTATAAAGTGAAATCTTCAAATCCTCTTCAATCTATTATACTTTGAAGAGTTTTCCCCCTATGCCTAATTTCAGCCAGGGATTTTTTTTGTATTACTTTAAATGGGTCACAAAACAATTACACTTTTCCTTTTTATATTATCTGGCAGACTAAAAGCTTTGCATAATTTCAGTTACAGAAATCGTTCAAATATTAACACAATAGAGAGGGGAAACATGTCTTCTTTCAAACAATTAATTTTACATTTTGACACTAGTACTTAGCTTCCAACTTTTTTGTTAAGCAATGTTAGCTCAAACTCCGGTTTTTTCATCAGTGAAGTGGTTCATTTGTATGTGCATCATTTAGAAGATTCATATAAAAGAAAATGCATTTATCCAATTTGCTTTTTACTTTTGAAAACATTAATTTGGTATCACAACACTAAAGTACTACTAATTTGGGCCGTTTTAGATGTTTTAGGAAGTTTATATAATGACTGTTTCTTGATCTGATAATTTGAGTCCAGCTAAATGCTATCTGCCTGCCTCTTCTGGAACTTTCTAGAAAGATCTAAGCACAGAAAGCTGCTGTTAGGCAACAAGAAAAATGCTGTACCTGTTTTTTTTTTATTAACATGTTCAGATTTAAAATGGGTCAGTACAAATAGTTAAAATAACTAATGGGTCTCACATTACTAAATATTTTTAAAAAGCTGTAACCGAGCATGTGCCGAGACACGCTAATTGTCTTAGCTAGCTTCTCTTGACGATTAAGTTTCGAAGTGAATTAGAAGAAACCCACAATATGCGGACTGATTTAACCGTCACAACTACAATTATGCCACTGCCTGTTATTATGACAACTAACAAAATGCAAGATTTTGTATAAAGGGCCGTTTTTTCCCACGTAAAGCTAGCCTGGTTAGCTCGTGATCTCGTTGTTGTGTCCGAGCCTTGTCAGCTAGCGGCGGGTTGGTTCAGTCCGTGAATCCCGGGTTATTTTGATACTATACACACATCACAACTAAACACACACAACAATTAAATGTTTACCGCTCCAAGTCATCCTGATTAGGGATTTCAAGGTCTGTGTCCACCGGTACGTCGATGTCAACAGCTGCCATTTTTTCTGGAAAGGACGAACACGAACCTACGTCATTTCCGGTAAGAGAGCTTTTTTTCTTCTTCAGTTTTTGAGGTCATAAGTAGGCCTATGAAAAAAAGGAAAACGTAAAACTACATTTCATAATGAACCCGTCCTTTTAGGGTTGTTTCTTAGTTAAAATTAATGTTATTTTTAGAATCCTAAATGCGTAGCAAATAAGAAATGCATATCAGTAGCTAGAGATGTTTGTCTGAAGGAATTTGTCACCAATTGAAATGAATGAAATGATTATTTGGGGGAAAACAGCTGTTCAGCTCTATTACAATTGTAATAATAATAACTATTATTATCATTATTAAAGATTGTTTATTATTATTATTATTATTATTATTACAGACTGATAAAAGAAAACACATACACAAACAATATACAAAACACAACATGTATTCTTGCATAACTTTCCCAAAGCAGGATTTGTATCACATCATCAATTATACAATATTACATAGTTATATCATATATGTGGCTTTAATCAATATTTAAAGTTATGTACATTTGCTTTTAAAAATGTATGTTCTGAAAAAGGAGGAACATCACCAGTAATTACTGTTTTACCTTGTTACTGTGTTTGTGGTCATCAGGCTGCTATCATCAGGAATTATTACATTACATTTCATTTAGCTGACGCTTTTATCCAAAGCGACTTACAATTATCAGATGAAATAAATGCTTTGGCTTACTTTGTATAGAGATAGTGTCACATTAAGAGCTGACACTATAGAAAAACACAGTTAGTGTAATACAGTGATTTAAATGGCATTTCTGTTTTATTTATACTTATACGCTCTTACTTATGTATATTTTAGATTGATAAAAATGTATAATATTTCAGAAAAAGCCCTGACATCTCCGCTCCTATTCAACCCATCTTGCTCTTTTTTTAGCAAAATACCAATAGAGGGCACTAGAGTATCATAAGGTATCGGGTATGGGGCACACATTAGCATGACTTTCCCACTCAACAGTTTCCGGCTAAAGGATTGGAGTTAGAGTTCAGTGACTCTCCACAGTTGATATGCTCTACTGTACTTGATGATTCATTTTGTTAAAAAATGTATTTATTATTTTCTTTTGCCTATGATATCCCTGACCTTTGAGTGATCTCAAATGAGAACAGTATCTTACTGATGATGCAATACTTTTAAGTGTTCTTGCCCATAACTATAATCAATCATGAACTACACCTGTACTCACTGTATATCTATCAGGACTCACTTTCTTATAGAAGAGACTCATATTTGAATATGAAGAAAGAAAATAACACAAGTGTAAAAAAGACAGTACCATTTATAAGTTCATATAGAATACAGTATTGACATTTTTTTCCACATAATCATTTACATTATTGCAATTGATGCACACTTACACTATTCATACATTTGACCAAGGGGCAATTCAAAACAAAATATTGCTTAAAATTATTTAACACAATCAGATGGGAGGGGATTTCTAAAGTAAAAGAAGATTGATTTTTAATACAATTCTCTTACAAAAATAACAGATTTAATAAAGACATCAAAGACACATTAAATAACTTGTGGATTCATGATTTACATTTTGGGGAACAGCACACATCAGCGAGTCTGTTCATATGTCAAGCTGTTGCTGAAAATTATTTATTCACACTAGTTTTTAATCTTATAACTTTAACTAAAAACAAGTCTTGAATGTATTTCCATATGGCGAGAATTCTTGGCATCATATCAGGGTGGTCGTTGATTGTCACCTCATAACACAGAGAGCAAGAGAGAAACAGACAGAGAAATTAATGTATTTATCTTAAATAAATTATAAAGAAACATATACATTTCAGACAATGGCTGTAGACATGTACATTTACTTAGAAGCAATATCCTCAGCAATCAATCTCCTTTGTCATTTCATTAGCAAACTGTATTTTTTCTTGATTTTGGTTATGAAGACTAAAGCAGGAATGAAGTACTGTACGTAAAATTAGAAAGCTCTGAAATTTGAAGAATTTTGGCAACAAACACTTAATTACATTTACTCACGCTATTCTATTAGTCTAGGATTATCTTATAAATAAAACTAAAAGATGCTTGTCAATATGGCTTCCAGAGAGGTCCAGACCCCAGGGATCATGCACTCAACACAAAGTCAAGGGGAAACAGCTGAGTGTTGGTCAAGGGGAAACAGCTGAGTGTTGGTCCTTCCATTTTGAAAGAGGAGACAATATGGTCAGTCAGTACTGAAATATCAATCCACACCAGGGAGTGGGCATACTGTTCTTATGACTAAAACCTGCCAAACATGACATGTTGATATGCTGCCAGCGCGGTCTGCGTTGTGTCCCGGTGTCCATTAGGGGGTCCCGTGCCTTATCCTCACCGACCATGCTTGTCTTTCCTGCTAGTCCAGCTTTGGGTAGGTTATGTCCACTCTACTGTAAGTCCTCCAACCTAACATGGCTCATTGCTAGTAAGGAGAGAAGATAATAGGTGCATGTGTGGCCCTCAGAGGTCCTGGGGCAGGCCTAAATAGTGTTGGGCTGATCAGAGGACCGTGGATGATGGCTGTGGGCCCCTGCGGCAGGCGAAGTCCCAAGGTTCCAGATGCCATGGAGCACAAAGCAGCCTGATTGAGGTGGTTTGCCAGGAACCCTGCCGGCAGGGCCTTGGAAAAGTGCTTCTGCAGGGCCAGTTTAGTCTGAAACCAAAGTCACAGTACATATCAAAATGATCCTGCTAACTGGTTTGCAATGAGATTCTAAGATGCTGATGAGCCGTTATAACTTACCTTTACCTTGTTCCCCATTTGCTAATTAACACTTAACACAGAGTACATCTTGGTAACATGGGAACATCATTAGTTTTGCTTGTATCTAAATTGTTCATACAAATGCATATACATGAAACAACAAATGGACAAATGTCAATTCTGACTTGATGATGCCTCTATAAAAAGGTCAGAGTATCATTAAAGGCATGACGATTCACCATTTAGTAACCATCAATGTCTGTTCAAAATGTCATGGCAGTCCATCCAAGATATGTTGAGATATTTCCGTCTGGACAAGAGTGTGTTTTACCATAACAAATTAATTTATATTTATAAACCACTAAGCAGTCATTAAACTTGTAAATATGTTGACAAGACCAGGAAGAATTGATTATGTTATTTCAAATGTATGTGTGTGTGTGTGTATCAAATTCTCACCGCTAAGATAGCACTGGGCTGTAGTTTATTATAAGGGGTGAACTTCGCCTTGACAGGCTTCCCAGCCAAACGCTCTTTGTGTCTCCTGCTGCTCATGTGCTAAAAAGGGGCAACAATATAAAGTTATTCAGTCAGGACAGCACTGATTAGGAAAACCAAATAGACAAATCTTGAATCGAGAAACACCAAGGTTAGGGTTCTGTAGTCAAATATGTCACATTTATAATATCAGGTTAAACCCACCTGCTTCAGCTGTGTCTCTGAGTTGACGGACACCTGGCACATTTCACAGTGAAAAGGCTGGCTGGATACACCCACCAAGGCTCTGGGCTTGCTGCCCATTCGCTGCTTAATTCGACTGGTGGGCCTGGGTGATGATGACATCCGGACCCTGCGTTGTGACTGGCTGCCCTTGTGACCATCAAGCATCTGTTTGTGCTTAGAGCCTGAATCAGCCAACAAAGAGGACTGAATGTTAGGATAAAAAACTAGCTAACATTAAAGTGGCATTCACGATTCTTCTTGAACGTATCATTATGAAGTCAATGTTGATTGCGCATTGTAATGGCTCTACAATAGTGACATCATCGGCATTCAGATCATTTCTGTCAGCCTGTGGCTTGCGATCTCATGGGAAAATGAAGGCTCGATGTACGGCACACAAAGGAAGAGGAGAGCCTTGAAATGGGCCTTTACTTATGAAGCTAATACAATCATAATAAGTAATAAGTAGGCTCTTTCGTCTGATACAAGACGGCAAACTTTGTATTGGCTCTACATTGTTAACAGCTGGTTTTAATTTGAACCTTTCACAAAAAAAGCCCCAAATATATACACTGAATCAAAAACTCCCAGAGAGATCTGCACCAGGAGGCATCTAAAAGAAATAGCTAACATCTCATCCAAAAATCTTACAGTATATACGGTTTCTAGGTCAAATTGGAATATTTATGGTTGTGTTTTGCTTTGGACGGTTGCCATGTTGCAAACTACATTTCGATCTATTGTATCCTGGGTTGTTGGTAGCTGTGAGGAAAATGGAAAGCAACACGGCTGTCTTTGCAACAGCAGTGCCCACAATGATGCCAATTGGAGACATTAAAGGGGAAAAGTTGTCTGTTTCCACTAAATAATATCAGTAGTATTGTAGGACATACCACTACAGTGAGCCTCCAACTGTGAGCTCGAATTGACCGTCACTTTGCACGTAGGACAGTGAAGAGGTTTTTTGTTGCTCTTGGCCTCCTTAGTCTCTTCCACCTTCCCCACCACCTCCTTCTCACCTCCCGTGGAGCTCCCCTGAGGGTCAGGTTGAGGGGCTGAACCGGACGCCGGGCTGCACTCCTCCACTGGAGGACTGTCAGAAGGTAGATCAGGAAGCTGAGAGTCGGCGCAGATTTGTGGAGACAGCTGAGGAGACCCGAGTGAGGAGGAGTCTGTGGGTAAGAGCTGTGAGGACGGAGAGGGAACCAGTGGGCTCTCCGCCACAGTTTCTGGTTGCTGCTCTGCAGGTTGGGAGGAGGTACTTGGGCCTGAGGAAAGACAAATAAACAAAGAAGTTACACTTTGAGTTACAATATGATATGTTTTTTTATTATACGGTTAAACGTTAGTAAATGCAAAAGCAAAATGCAAAAAGTATGTAAAGTTATTCTGATGATGATAATTAGTATTGTAAAATAAAAGTTATTATACAGTATTTTTCAACATTTGTATCTACTTTAGGAAGACATATTGTTACAATCAGTCATTATCTTTCTATATACATTACCAGCCTTCACCAGCCTTCACTCAATAGAGAGGCGAAGTCCCGCCCATCTACTTCCCAC